TCAGTACTCGCTTAGTTCTAGCTCCCGCGCAAGGTAATCCCGCCCAAAAGGTGAGGGAGATAGGTTGGACAATATTTATTATAACTATGAACTCCTACCTCCTGTTGTTGTTCATAGATGTTAAATGAGCTGGTTGAAATTTCTCAAAACTTTCCGGACACCCTAATAGCAGAGAATATGCTGTTCATTAAGTCATGAGGCAATTACCAAGCCAACGTCTTAATAATATCGATCGAGTTAACAACTTTAAAATGCGAAATACATGCGATCCAGATGCTCAGCTGATAGCATTAGGCTGGTTCAAGAAATGTTATTGAACGGCAGAGGATTGACTGAATCGACTGTTGGGCGCAATGGCGCTGTAAACTCAGATGTGAGGCCCCAATAAACGCACAGGTAAATGCTGAGAGATAATCGGTAAGAGAAAGAATCTGAAGGAGGAGGTGCGGAGAATGCAGAAAGCAAGGAACGCAATGAAAAGAGCCTTGGTATTACCGAGGAGAGTTATGTTTGTGCTGAGCGTACTAGAGAAATGGTCAAGTAAGCTTTCAGGCCGCATCTTTTGAATGAAACGGCGTGGTAGGGATGGGGTAGATGATGTGGAGCTGCTAAAAAATTACAGGTATAGAAAGAGCTCGGGAACAAAGGCGAAAGGAGATCGATAATGATTAGCTATTGGAGGGTGGGCGAAGACAACGAGCAGGCGTCAAAGCTGAAAATGACGGACTAGACAGCTGCCACACCGCTCGGCAAGATAGGCTGTGTGGTTAGAAAGAATTTTAGTGCCTGTCACTCAGTGATTCTTCATGAGCTCCCTCTTCCCTGTTGAAAATCCGATTCGAACAGGTATTTCTTTTGTGGAACCAGAGAAGCTACGGTTACACCAAAATTTTGGTAACATTTTGATTTGCATGTGTCCTCGAAGGGGAGACTAAATGGTGTCTCGATTGGTTGATAAACTCATTCATTTTGAGAGCTACATCCCTGCACATCCCTGTGAGGTATTTAAAGTCCTATCCGCGTGATCGCAGCGCTCTCAAAAGTCCCTGGACACATTAACGTTCTCTGCCTTTTGCAGATCTCGTCTTTTATTAGGTTGGAAAGCATTCCTCTAAAAGTTCCCTCGCTCCATGTCCTGCTACGCAACCATCCAGTAAGTTGACCCCCAAGTTTAGGCTGCATTCATTCCACAACTTTCCCTGAGTCTTGGTTATCAGTAAAGGCCATTCTGCACAATGGACGACGTCCATGACAAGCATGACAAGGTGGGTGGTAACGGTCAAGACAGCCCAGCGTAAACCATGCACATAAAAGCTTCGACAGGATATCTCTCGAACAACGGTGTCTACAATGGCAAAAGAAGATTTGCATGGAAAAAGGTCATAATTTTTTGCTGGTAGGGACGGAAAGAGGTGCTATAGGATAACGGGTCAGGAGATCTGATTGAATTTAAAAGAAGACCACATGTGAACTTCGCCCGGAAAGGCCGGAAATCTTTCTACTCCTAGACATGCAGTGCCTGCATCTAGCCTAGATGGCACCTAAAAAGAAGTTGAATCTCAGTTAGGACTCCATATTCAGCTTACTCACCAGCCTAACAACTTCTGACTACCCCCAAAGTACACCACTTAAAAATGAGAGAAATGGTAGGTGATTGATGTTAACTCGAGAATGAGGTCGCGATCTTGTTTTCATCGTATTCGCCGGAATTCCGGAGGAGCAGAAACGGGAAGTTACCCAACAAATGAACATTTGCCCCGGGTACCTTTGGCAGTTTACTTGGTAACTGAAGTTCTTCGTAATCGAAACAAAATTATCTTCCAAATGTTTCAAGACTTTCCAACCTAATAATTGCTTTTGAAAAGTTATTATTGAAAGGAGAACACTCATGCAGACGAGAGCTTACAAAAATATGCAAAAGGAAAGCATTTGAAGACCTAGAGCGTTCGAGGCGAGCCCTTACATGAGCACGCTTTACACCCCAGAAAATAGAGTAATTATTTTTTGGGTCAACGAAGCTGTCAACCAATTCGCCTGAAAAATCAATCTACTAGCTATACGTCTTCCAAACAACGCCCTTGCGTGGTTATAGTCCTTG